ACTGGAAACAAGGAAAAGATCACCATCACCAATGACCAGAACAGGTTGACACCTGAGGACATAGAGCGCATGGTCAACGATGCAGAGAAATTTGCTGATGATGACAAAAAGGTGAAGGAACGCGTGGAAGCTCGAAACGAGCTCGAAAGCTATGCATACTCCTTAAAGAACCAGGTCGGAGACAAGGAGAAGCTTGGTGGAAAACTTTCCGAGGATGATAAAGAAACAATCACCAAAGCCGTTGAAGAAAAGATTTCATGGCTGGACAAGAATCAGGAAGCAGATGTAGAAGAGTTTAAGAAACAAAAGAAAGAACTTGAGGACGTTGTGCAACCTATTGTTAGTAAGTTGTACCAGGGACAAGGGGGAGGTCAGGAGGGAGGTAGTACTCCACCCGAAGAAGAGAAACCCGATGAAGAGGAACATGATAAAGATGAGCTTTAAGACTTATTATTATGGTAGTAAAATAACAAAGGACAATTTGCACTTCCGCCAACACTCAGTGACGTGTAATTTTTTAGGAAATCAAAGAAGCACTTTGTCACATTGTGACAGACATTGCTAAGTGGCTATCGTCTTGTTAATCGCCTACATTGCGGGAAAAGTCATTGTCAGGAGGTGTGCGGTAATATAGTATAGTGTACAGCCTATTTGTAAATAGCCGTTGCCTTTTTTCTCAGCTCTTGTTGTAAAAACCCTTGTTCTCAACTAATATTTGATCATTTTCCGACTGGAAACCATTCTTGTTATTTATCCCAGCTCCCAAATTCTGGATTGCCAGAGAACTAGAGAAAAAATTTTTTTCATTAATATAAATGATAATTTGATATCTTTTGTATCGGATTTGTGTTGTAGTATTAATTCTGGGTGCCACAACAAACTATTATCGCTGTATGGCTGTTTCCTGGTTTTTAATTAGCTGTGAAATCAGAGTAGTACTGCCGGATAAGTCGTAGGCTCGTAGGATTCAGAGTCGCAATAATCAGAACTTCTGCATTTTCTCCCGACTCCGCTTATTACTCCGTCGCGTAGGATCCGGTGAAAACCAGAAGCGGAATAAAAAACAGTCACGGCGACGCTAGCTCATAGTGTTAGGTTGAGTTCTTGCGTTTTTCTGACTACTGTGGGTCACAGGCGAAAGAGTTTTAAGCAGAATCAGAACGTTGTTTTCACTAGACCATAACGCTCTGTGCTTAGGTTCAGGAATTCTCTGGCGACGGAGTCCTCGTAGGGGTATGGGTGAGCTAACGCCAGCTCCATCTGTTTTTGTTTGTTTGATTGATTGTAAGTAATCAGTAATAATAATTTCTAACCAGAAGAACTCTCTGACTAGGGTGATTTTCAGAGAGGTCTTGAAAAGAGAAAAGATAAAAAGAAGCGTAAAACGATAAAAAGCCACAAAAAAATTTCCTCACCCACAGAGCTACTCTCGACAGGTCTTCATTAAGAGCATTCTCGAGATCTTTTATGTTAGAGCCTGATTAGCAGTACAAAACGGTATCGTCCGCATAAAGGGATACGTTGCATTTATGTAAACAAAGAAAAGTAAGGGCCCCAGGATGCTCACTTGTGGTACACCATAGATAACAGGTCGAGATGATCGGAGTTCTCTTTGCCGCGTGAGGTGCGCTGCTTCCTATGAACTAAAGAGAGTTACTATAGAGTGCACGGCAAGCCGCTATAAATAACGCGTTAACGCTTGCGGCTATTTTAATCACTCATCTGTACAGTTTTTTCCATGTTCAACGTTGTTTTGGCAATCGAAACCAAGCTGAATTTTGTTTCTTTAGACGATAAAAACCTTCAAAGACGACGACAATTTGTTGGCGAACGCGATACAAAACTCTTATGCTGGTCAGGTTCAATGTCTGAGTCACAGCAGGGACCAGAAATTTTAACCAACTTCGATCAACTTCAATTCCTCCTCTTTCTTTTTTCATTTTCTCGTTCTCAGACTCCTCACGGTTAGACAAAAGGAGTTGCCTGTGGTGGAGGTCAGCACAGTAAAAGGATCAAAGTTATCAACGTTTAACAATCGTCAGTCGGCAATCAAATAAAATACCTTTATTCTGACTTTCTAGACAGTATAAGCTAAAACGCTTTCAGATATTGAGAGTCGTCGTCTTTTATCGATACTACGCTCCCTAAATCTCATAACATGGCAATAATCGTAAATAACAATTCAGGGTTCCGTTATCATTTATCGTGCAAGGAAACCATTCAACACGAAGAGGAGTGTAAGCGATAACAAATTTTTTAAGAAAAGCTATCCAAACTTATTTTTCACAAACATTCAACTAAAGGCATAGCGGATACTGGAGCATTTGTGAAGCAAACAAATTCTTGTTAGAAAATGAAATAGAGGGATTTCCTTACCAGTAGACAGCTATCTTAAACGACACCCCACTATTTTAGTAATCCCGGTGACTTGGATTCAACGACCAATTCTCTACTTCAGAAAATAAGCAGAAGAAGATGAATTTACTAATGGCACTCTAGCCTGCTAGAGAGCTCGCTTGGAGGAACGAACGATAAAAATACAGAAATTAAATTCTAAAGTAGCTGACATCAAGCCCTGTTACATGAAGCAGTTCTGGTTCCAATTCAACGGTTACTGGGGACAGGGGGGGAAATTGGCCAATAGCTGACCGGCACGTCCCTAGTAACCACCCCAGACGTCGTAAACGTCCCAGAAGTCTTTGCGAAAGTTAACTCGGCCCCATTTCCTTCTCGTTCCTAATGTGTTGCAAAGAAATTTCAGGAGGTGTGGTTTAAACTGAGCAACGTCACGTGCAACTTATCTGCCGACGGCATAATTAGACTGTGTTCGGGCTGCAACAAAAAATTCCGCCAAGTGTAACAAGGCCTTCAGTCAAACTACAATTTGTGCTCCTCTTTTGTTCACAAGGTCCCTCTGCCCCCAACAAAAACCCATCTAATTCAAAATTTTGGGGAATCGTGGTAAGTAAACGGAAATTAAGTAAGGAAAGAACAGTGAAAATATACAGGGTTGTCAAGTGTAAACGAAACGACAGAATTCTTTGTTCATTTTTACAGCAAAAAACGTACTTATATTGAAGTAACTTGTCTTTCTATTTTTCAACTACTGTGAATAAAATTTGCAACGAATTTGTTCACATACTACACATGTGACATCGCATTAGCTTAAGCCTATTTCGCTCAGCTGTATTTACAAAAAATAAATACATTTGGTTGTGTTGCTTGGCCATATACAGTCTTAGACCAGCTCCAGGACCTGAAAAAAAAAAAGAAACGGCTCATACAAAAATCCTTTTAAAACAGCAGCAGGAGCAGTGACGAAAGCAAGGTAGGAGTAAAAGTTGTTCTTCGACTGCACACTCAAATCGTTAAACATAAACACTTTTCAAGGTGGAACTACTAGTTCAAATGGATCAGAGGTAAACGCCCGTTGCCAGGTCAGTGCTACTTTTCTTTTATAAATAACAATATTGGAGTTCGACTTAGGCCTTTCGCTACCATTAAAAAGTTAAAAACCCAAGCTGTCGCCGATGATGCCGTGGATCAGAGAAAGCTTGGATTATTAATTATTAATTTTAACAGTACAAGGAGGCCTCATTTGAACTTAAATGGTACATGTTGTTGACAAAGACGTTTTACTGTAGTGGTCAAAAACAGTCCAACATCTCCTCGTCCTGTATACAACATTAGCTTGTTACAGTAATATAAACAAAGTCCAGCTTAGAGAGAGTTCACTGTATTGGCATACTCAAATATATCATACCTTAATGGTCCCTTGACTATTAGCCGCAACAACAACATTGGAGCCCTGTTCGAATAGGATCAAAAGAAAAGGTTAAGCCGGTAACCAAAGTCATTTTACAGCTGAGATGTTTCTGCAACGCGCAATAAGGCAGACTGCAAAGCTTATCAAGAAAACAATAATGACTGAGCAACTGGAAATTCAGAAAAGCCGGCGGAACGGTTGTATATTGAGCCTCAAATCCACCCGTACCTGCGTGCCTGACTAGGAATCGGGCAAAGAAAGAAGGCAGTTTTTTTTTCCGATTGCCTGATGCACTCAGTGTGTCTTCACAAGCGACAGCTTCATGGGCGGATAAAGCTTCATTGAATGCGCGATCTCTCACGTGGCTCTTTTATCGTTTTGTTTCCCACCTTAAAATTTTTGCCCCACTAGACCACTACTAAGTAAAAAAAATGTCACACCGAAAATTTACTGATCATACCCGAGTGAGGTCGAACATCGCTAATCGAAATACAAAAGAAGGTGAGAAAGAAAAGCACTATTGTCCTCCAAAAATGCAAACTGAACAATAGGCAAAGTTTGATACGCTAACAAATGCAGCTGTCAATTTGGTCTTTTTTTCGTACATTTCTAAGAGGCCACAAACAAATGTAAAACGAATGCACTCACTGTTCTCCAGCAAACTGCGCTCACAAATTCATTCGCATCATCCTCCTTTTTGTCTTTTTCCTTAAAAATAAAAAAATATCAGGTTGTAATGATATATAATAACCAAGAAATCAGAAGTGACAACTAAGGAGTATGAAATTAGAAATGGTATGTAATAGAATCAACTGCCGCCTCTGAACTTTTCCCCATCTATAGTCGAGTTACTGAAGTTATTAAAGCCATCAAATAAGATGGGTAAAAAGAGGTTTCCGGGAAGAAGATAAGGAATATAAGGGGTTTGGGATACAAATAATGTGACTGGTATCAAAATGGGAAAAAAGGAAAGGAAAATGGGAGATATAACAAAGAAAACGTACGCCACTTGCACATCTCCCATAATGCACCTTATTTGCCCCACAAAATTTTGCATAAGCATGCCTTGTTTTCAATTTCTCTTGGGAGGGCTGTAATACCCAGGAGAAATGAAAAACAATCCTTATGCAAAATTTGGGCGGGGGGGGTGGGGGCGGGGATAAATAAGGTGCATTATGGGAGATGTGCAAGTGCAACAACAAAGCAAACAACATTGAAAAGAAATGAAAAAGGTGTTAAACACAGCGAACACATTTTATACCATCAGAGTAAACGCTAGCTAGAATCACTAAAATTTTTATCTGAGAATTAACATTTCAGGATGTTGTCCACAGATTTGCAAAGTGCTTGTCAGAAAGTGGATTCTTAAAATTGAGTGATCACACTTAAAAGTTTTCCTAACCAAAGTCAAGGCCATATTACAATTAAGGTTTAAAATGTGAACGTAAAAAGGCGGGGGGTTACACTGAATTCCAACTCACCAGTACACTTCTCACAGTATCAAACTTGAAGGTCAGCAGCTGCTTAGAAAGGCCCTTGTAGTACAAATATAGTGAATTGTTTTCACTTCCTGTAAATGAAAAGATTCGCTCACAACTATTTTGGGTAAATTAACGGCCAACAAGTGCTACAGCTTAGAACACACCTATACAGAAGAACAGACAAACAGGTATACAGAACGGTGAACTGAAACCACATTTAACTTCTACACACCACAGGCCCACGGCAGGGGTGTTGATGTCGAAACATTGGGTGAACGCAAAAAATGATGAACGCCAAAGGAGGAAGGTTGAAAGCCATACGTTATTGATCAAGCATGGGGTGACGATGGCTGGATATTGGTCAAGTTATTTCGTTGCGTTGTTATGGACCGAAACGAAGTCGAGGTCTGTAAAAAGACACTTACAAAAACGAATGGGGCCGATATCGAGCCATCGTGATCGAAAAAGCTTGGTCAATAAAGGATTTAATACATGGCGTGACCAAATCTGGAAATTTCAAGCGGGCGAGATAAGCCCAAGTTGCCCACTCGGACAGCAATTCACAACACAGGATTCAATTCATGTAACCCGTTCGCAGAACTAGCCATATAAAAATTCTTCTTCATCACACCTCCCCCCTTTACCAGCACAGGATGACAGTTACTGCACACGTAGAAGTCGTGGTGATACGTGTGCTTATCAGGTAGCGAAAGCGCGGTGGAGAGTACTCAAAAAATATAATTATATCTGTTCTCAAGGGTATAAAGATCCTTGAAGTAACCAAAGCCTTGCGAAATAAGAATCACCCACCACAAGCAACGTAATCTCCATTGGAAGCCAGTCCAACAAAGTTCTTTTCGTTAACGTGCCCTTTGAAAGTTCGAAGACAGTGCGGCTTACTGATGTTCCAGAGTTTTAATTGACTATCTGTTGATCTACAGAAAACAAATGAACAATAAAATTCAAGTTAAGCGTGAACACTGGTAGACCTTTGGCTTCATGAAGTAACAAATGAATAAATTTTTGAAAGTGTTGCCTGAACAAAAATTTTCAAGAGGGACCCTGAAAATAAATTGCTTCGGTTCCTGGACGCAAAGTCTGATTTAACAATTACAACGTTTAAAAGATCCAGACGGTTCAGAGAAGTCGCCATTGAGACGTTTAACCGCTCTTTTAAAGGACTAGCCTGTTCCAAGCTCCAAGATAGTAGTACACTGGTGCAGTCAGGTAAAAAGTGATGTGAAAAACGCGCGGGGGCAAGGGAGAGACAAGGCGGTGGTATTTTTCACGCTACCGCACTCTTCCCTAGATCTCGCGCGTCTTATTTTCGCGACTGCC